TTCTCTTTTAACAACTCTTTTTTTTTTTTCTTCAAAATTGCTTCCTTGTGTTAAATTGAGTTGTGTCTTTTCTAATCTCAGTGATTTTTCAAATATTGTGAAATTTGATTGGTTTGTTTGTTGCGGGTTCTGCTAATTTTTTTGTCCACTGGTTGGTGAATATGTACTCTGTAGTAGACTACAAATGAAATAATATAGTTTTAGATCACTTATATGAATAAAAGTGATGCTATTGAAATTGCTTCACTCTAACAAGTACAGAGCGAGTGTATATATATTCTATCCAAAATTTATATTAGTGAACATTGCCTTTAGTGAAGAGCTTGATTTGCTTTTGTTTTCAAAGAATTGTTGCTACTGTTTAAAAGTACTATTATTGATTGTGCGAACATGAGACACGTGTTTTAATCAAATTTTGTCTTCCTCTTTGTAATGCAGACTGCACAATGTGCAAATGATTTCATTCGCAGCATGCTCCTACCAGTGATATTTTGACGAAATGCTTACTTGAATACCATAATTTCCAGGAGAAAGGCCGTGCTTCAATTTGACCTATTACTGATTTGCTTGGAACTTCTCATCCTGAAACTGTTGCAAGTTTAAGCCCTCTGTGATATCTTCTATTGTTTAGTTTGGATTCTTTGTTTGTTTTCTGTGTTTTATTGGTACTTGGGTTTGTTTGCATCCACATCGCAAGTTTTTAGTAAGATGAGGCACGACGCTACAAATATATGGGTCTTTGTCCCTCCTTTTGTTTTCATTTCAGACCCATCTTATTTAATTTATTGTTAATTCTTCTTACCATTTCTTTGTGGGAGTGTTCTCTGAATGGGGTATGTTTTAGGTCCTTTTTTTATTAATTGTTCTTTTTCTGTTTCTTTACTTTGATGCCTTATATATGAATGTTTAAGGAGACTAAAGTTATATTTTTATATAACAATTACTGATTTTTATAAAGTTCTGTTTAGCCATGATGAATTTATTTTTTAATTTTTATGTTTTTTATTCGTACAACAGTTTGAATGGCATTGTGCATGATTTAATACATTATATATACATCAATCCATGGCCTTTTAGTATTAAATCAAGACATTTAAACATTATTATAGATTAAAAACGAAGTTGCCAAATAGAATTATAACCATTTCAATAGTGGTAAGTGCCTACGGTGCCATCTCTCCAATAGAAACCATTAATAAAATCTTAAAATTAGTATATTCTTTACTCACAAGAAAAGAACAACCTTCATTGGTATTTCCGTATTTGTTACTGCTCAGAATAATGTGAATAATTAATGTATATTCAACATGTCCAGTAAATGTAAGATGCCGTTCTTCTTTTGTGCTTAAATAAATCACTCCCCTTTAATATACAATTTCTCATTTTCAGTTTGGTATAATTCCAAGTTTGCTTTAGGGTATGATTGCAAAAAATTAAAAAATACGGAGTAGTGATTTTCAGATTTTGAGTTAAAAAAGCTGAAAATTGTATTTTCAAGTGACAAGGTCTACTTAAGTTAACCACTTCAAAAGTTCAAAGCTAAAAGCTAGAATATGCTTTTTATTTTTTCTATTACACAAAAAACACATATTTTATCAAACACTATCAACTTTTACTAATCAAAACAATTTGATCTCAAACACTACCTACTTTTACTATTAATCATTTTTTCCAAAATCACTTTAAAAAATGTTTTTTTAAAAGCAAAAGCATTTCCAAACACTCTCTGAATCTCTTAAATCAAGTGAAAATCAATATCCATTTTTAATATTTATTATATTAAGAACCTTTTTTAAAAAGTTTTACTCTTCGAATGAATTTGATTGGTTAGTCTTAAGGCATATACTTTTTTTCACACACTACTCTAAATAGCATAAATCAGTCCTAATGGTGATTTGTTTTAACTATTTAAATATCTGTTGTGTTGTTTTTATAAAATATAAAACTTGTGTTTCGTTCACTTGGTTTATCATTATACAGTACTATATCATGTTTACAAAAAGGCTTTTTGTTCAGTATATTTTAAAGCTTCTATTAGAATATCATCGGGTTTAGTAATTAGCATCACTGGTGCATTTGCTACCATTTTATTTGAAGGATTTTCAAAATTGGATTTCTAAAAATCTTTCAACATAGGTAGCTTAGTGTAATCATTTGATTTGCTTCACCATTCAATTTATAGAAAAGTCCAAATTAAATTACTAATGCATTTTTTGTAAATAAATTACTAATGCATTTGGTACCAATTTGTTCTCCATACTGTATGCTTCACTGCATTGTTTTTATAAAATATAAAAGTTGTTACCAAAATATGAAGCTCAGACAGGAAATTCATTAACTATTTTCTCCTTTTTGTCTTAAATAATTCTTGAATAAGTACTTACCAAAATAATTTATTTTGTTCTAATGTTAGACATTTCAAATGGAGGGTTAAGATCTCCTAGCCATGTCAAAATGTTGAAAAAGTTGTTATTGTAACTATAATTTTTCCATTTTATCTTTTCTTCATACTGTGCACTTCATTTTCTATCAACTTTCTTACCTATGTGATCTGAAATTAATTGAGTCATTTAATAAATCTCAATCAGGTATGTAAAGATCGGAAGTTGCTTCACAAAGCATAATCTGCTCCAAATTCTTCAATGTAAGGTAGAAAATTTGTAGCTTGACCAAGGCTGAAGAGCTACAAGCATTCTCAAATTTGTTCAAAATACAAGTACGTGTTAATAAGACAGTCTTTGCAAACCGTCCATGGTACTGTTCAGTAGCAGCATGTTTTGATTTAATTTGATAATTCTTTTTGTTCACTTTTACATCATTTGCAATGGAGCCAAATATTCATTAATTTTTTTTGGCTTGAGAATATGATAGAATAAAACAAAATGATTCACTAAACTGTCTGCGCTACTTTGTTATGAAGCAGCCGTTAGTCCATGCAATTTTGGACGCGATTTTCACTATAGGTCATCCGGAAACGGTCTCTCTGTGCTTTAGTACAGGGGTAAGACTGCGTACATCCGACCCCCCCCCCCCCCCCCCCTTACCCCACCGTAGGTGGGAGCCTCTGCAGCACTAGGGTAAATGAAAATGATGATGAAATGATGACTTTTATTTGAATGGTTAGAGGCCCTAGATATATTTGGTTACTTTGTTGGTTACTTCTATCTGATTTGATCTTCGTATAAATTTAGTCACTTTCCTTAAAATGACGGATGGAGTTAGTGGCGATCAATTTTTACTTTATTATTCTATGTGTGAGTAAAATTTGATCAAGTTTAATGAGACAGGGGGAGTTTTAGAATTGATTACTTATTTTGATAAGTAATTAATCATAAATTATTTGGACATGTGTATATGTTTTCTTTATTTAAAAAATCAGCCTTTTTTATTGTTGTAGGTCCAAACTCCAAATATTACAAAAGTAGGGGGTTTGACCCCTCCAGATTCAATTTTAATGGTCCTTTGTGACGTGCTTCTGTTCATGACATAAATAGTTATGAACAAAACCATATGTTTTGTTCATACAGTTTGTTTATGGAAGGGTCTGCATTTTGAGGAGTTTGTGTTACTCTCTCATAGACTTGTAGTTAGACTACATCAGATTCGCCCCTTGATGTAACTAAATCAATTCTAATGCCATTGGCTTATTTGGCTCACATTATGAGGGTTTGCTTCCAAGTATTACTCGGTATGTGTGTTTGTGTACGTGTTCTAGCTAGAATATCTCAAAGGTTCAAAGGAATCTAAGTGAGAATGGATCTACAATAGCTTCCTTGCTCTTCCCTCACATATGTATTTGTTATATATATATCCATATGCTTGGTAAACATAATTACAGTTTTGAAATCGGAACATATCTGATGGGTTTTGGAGTCACGACTCTTTCTTAGTTAAATAAACGAAAGAAAAATTGGGTCAGATGTGGTATATTTTCCCCCAAAACGATCAGTCCAATTCAAATTCGGCTTTATTAATGCTAAAACTGATTAATACGGAGTATTAAGTTGCGTTCGTGTTACACAACTCACAAGCACTATTTGGATTGGTACATAAGACTCATTTAATTCTAAAGGTTAAACAATTTCTGTTAATGATTAGTTTCATAACTTTTAATGAAAAACGGGAACATCCATTAAAAATTTGGTCGGTTTTTCTTAATCCAATTTCTCTATCGAGGAGACACATAGTTTTAAAAAGAATAAGAATTCAAATGTATTGAAGTTCTATCACACATAGTGATAAAAAGTTCTATCATACAGAATGTGTTTTAGAAAATGTATACCATTAGTGGTGTTATTATATACAGTAATTGGGTTCGAGTCATTAGAATAAATGAATTTAAACATCTACAACATTATACACACACATACAGTATCCGTGGATTTTTAATTATGAATTGCATCCCGTGCAACGCACGGGTGAAAATCTAGTTCTATATATAAAGAAGACATTGATGATACTCGTGCATCTCATTCTAATATATATTCATATATTATAAGATCAAAGAATTTATGATTTATTGTATACACATATATGTATGTTGAAGTATATTTGTATTATAATTTAAGAAAAAGTATGTATACTTATATATTGAGCGGGTCGGGGCGGCACGGGTCAATTCTGATACCCGGACCCGCCCCATTGTATAGGCGGGGCAGGGCGGACCCATTTGCAAGACAGGGCGGAGCGGACCCGTCCCAAATGTCTCGGGCCAGGGCGGGTCATTCCAGGTAGGTTTTTTTTTACATCCCTACCTCGGAAGCTTCAGATGCAAATGAAAGAGAGGCGTAGGATTGCTGATGACCACCTCGGATGATAATGATCCTACTGCTTCTCCAGTCACCTTCTCTGCCAAGTATTATCACAGGGTGTTCGATTCAGGCGATAAGGTTTTGGAATGTAATCCTATAAACTAATCAACTGCTTCTAGGACAAGCTTAGGGACTGCTCTGCATCTTTTAATCCGGTATCTATCTACCCCAATAAGGTAATCTGGCTTTCTTTATTTACTGGATGCATGTAAAACAACATGAATATTTAATTTGATTTTGAGCCATATTTATTTCGAGTGTCAGAATTACAAAAAAAAAAACAAGATATTGCTTTACTGCGGCACAAAGAGAGAACAAATTGGTAAAAATGACATATGGGTGATGTAGAGTGTAATTGCGACTAAGAGAGCTGATAAATAGAGAGGCAACAAGATCAACATCAGCAACACTTGATGATATAACCAACACTTAATGCTTAGGTGCACGAGTGAGTGTTCCATAAAGACTCGAGATTTCTTCCTGCAAAATTTAAACAAGATGAAGCTTTCACGCCTTTGATATACTAGTATAAATCAAAGGGTACTATATTATTAGGACAAATGGGCTTATGGACAAGGGGAAGGGTTATAGAATGTTTAATTTATCACAAATGTACCCATAAATCATCTCACCCTCACTTATTCGGTTTGGGTAAATTTGAGTTAATTTTAAGCATTCTACAAACCCCGCCCTAATCCTCTCCCTACATATATAGTTCTTCTTATCTCTAATGTTGCTAAAGTTTTTTTACAAAGCCACATTACCTCGTAATGTTTGAACAATTTATCTCTTCTTTTCTTCAGCGTTGCAGTGACCAAGTCATTTCCCAGTTCAAAGAGTTGTGGCTCAAGAATGACACCTCTTATGTGCTCAAAACCCCTCAACTGGTTTCAAAAAAGAAAATCGGTTACTGGGTGTCATAACAATATTAGCTCATCCAATTAATGATGCATAAAAGGCAAAAAACAGATTGACAAAACAAAGTAACAAATACGTGACAAAATCATGCCTTTCAGCGCATCATATCACTCTACATCAATGGGAACGATATAGCGACCATGTTTTTTTTGTCGAAATATAATACGGAGTATTGTGTATTGATTTGTTTCATTCAGATTAGCTCAACCATAGGAGATTGGAATATGAATGACACAAGCAGAAATGTACCTTATTCCTCTCTGCTACAGCCTTCAACTCAACAAGGACATAATTTTTCAATTTGTCAAGAGAACATAGTTCTTCAAAAGTACCAAAATGGCCATTTTGATGTGCCCATTTGGAGGTGTTCTCTTGATGGGGAACGACCACTGCAACCAACATAGACTTGAAACTGTCCCCATACACCCATATCTGAAAGTATAAAAATCATCAAATATAATTGACTGGTCTTCATTTATCGGACATTTCCTTATACATTACTAAGTAAATGATTAAGTAAACATTACTCATTGGACATAATGTTGATGATTAATTTTTGGACACAAATGTTAGAAAAAAGTTACCAATATTCACTGGCCAATTACTGCGTTGACAGTTGGTCATAGCCAGTTGACATTAGTGCCATAAAGTTAATAATTAACACTTTTGCTTAATGTATAATTACTTAGTAATACGGAGTATAACTTTTCCTTATTTCTATTTAGAAGAGATCGATTATCAAATTTAATTCAAAGTTTCAAACTGTTACTTACATCTTCAATAATAGGTGCTATACCATAAATCTTCTCTAGATACTCGACCGCGACATATTCTCCTTGAGAGAGCTTGATAAGATTTTTCTTTCTATCAATGATTTTTATAACTCCGTTAGGCAACAGTTCTCCAATATCACCTGAGAATTTTCAAAAAAGAAGCTTTGAAGTAAGAAAAATACCTAGTTTCAGGTGATGTTCATCATCATCATCATAAAAAGAATAATTGAACCAAACCTGTATGGAACCACCCATCTTTACAGACTTCTCTTGTCAATTCTGGATTCTTGTAATATCCTGCAAAATTAGTTTTTCCCTTGACACATATCTCTCCTCGTGGGGGGTTTCCAAGCGGGTTGTAACCCATTTCAGAAACCTCCTCGAGACGCACTTCTGTGTATACAAATGGGGATCCAACTGTTCCGATCATGCTCATTTCATCTGGGTAGCATATTGTGCTCAACCCACAAGTTTCAGTTAGTCCTACATTTTAAAAAATTGAAATAATTAGTTATTACTACCTCCGTCCCCCTAAGTTTGGGACAAGAGAATGTGGAACGGTTATTAATAAAAGTGGATTTATGTGGTTGATATTGAATTGAAAAAGTAAGAATAAAGTAGGAATGATTTAGAACCACACAAACTTTACCAAATAAGATATGGGACAATCTTAGTGGGACGGATCGAAATGGTAAAATGAGACAATCATAGCGGGACGGAGGGAGTAGTTTATAATTGGAATGCTATTTAACATATGGAAATTTCATCTGGTTTGGTAGCAGTAATATTCTTGTTCTGTTACAGAAGAACAAATAGCTTTTGACTTACTTATTTGTTTAAAATGGATGTGCTTGAAAAAAAATCAAGATCTTTCTGCCATATAATGATTACCAAATGGTCTCTAAGGTACCAGGATGAACTATTTCACAAAAGTTCCTTTCCAGATATTCCACATATGAATGGGTATTCAAATGTTTAGGTATTGGCAATTAGGTGTGAACATATGTTGATGGTTTTTATATCTCTGTAACATTAATAGTACAAGTGTAGGTAGCGAAGTATTGGCAGAAGGGAAAAAATGGCTGTAGAGTAATTTTACCATATCCTTGTACCACAAATGCACAAGAGGTTACTCTCAAGAACTCTTCAATCTCACTACCTAGTGCTGCACCACCCGAAACTATTAGACGAAGTCTGCCACCTAGCCTTGCCTTTACCTATCAATGTGAGAGATCCTTAGCATTTTTTTTATATGCAAAGCTTTTTCTATAAGAACTTATATGAGTGAACTGTTTTTTCTGTCCATCCCATGTTTGATCAGTCATGTTTGGTAGTGTACAACCAATTTGTACAGATTCTTTGTTTTCATATAAGATTTTCGTCTATATAGATTTGTATGTGTGTGATTTTTGTCTGTTAGAACTTACAAGTAATGTGTTTTTTTCTCTCAGGTATAAAAACACGCAGCCACACAAACAAAATCTTGTAAATGTGAACAAAAATCTAAGATTTTTTTTGTACAAAATAGTTAAACAAATAGCGTTTTCCCCCTAAATGTAGGGGAGCCCAAACTACACCAATAGTCACTATCTAAAAGATTTCAAGTCGAAATAAAAAAAAACAATTTTGATGATGATGGTATGTGACATTTCCTCCATTTAAACGCTGTTGAAGAGAGTAAAAAACCTTTCTAAAAGCAAGTAAATCAGCCAGGCGCGCCGCAGCTCTATGCTTGAATCCTAACTTCATCCATTTGAGTTTGCTACATTATGTGTAAAAAATCAATTAAGTTATTGGTAAATAAAAATTATGGATGAATAATGACTACATCTCACACATAAGGAAATGGGCAAAGACTTACTAGTTGTAAAGAAGATTGAAAACTGCCCTCCTAAATGGATTGAGTTCATCAAGTGCTTTCAGGACACCTACAATAAGGACATCATTTAGGACAATAATAACAACACATCCCAACCAAAATTGCATCAAAGTATGGGCATTTATGAAAGTAGAAAAATGTTCCATACCTTCATGAATTCTTTCATAAACTCGAGGTACTCCAGCCAAAAAGGTGGGCTTCAACTCGGCCAAGTCATCTTTTATCTCATTGATATTCTGATACAAATTTGATAACTCTTAACTCCACTTTCCTTAATTATATTTGCATGTTCTCCATTCTTTCATAGTTATTATTGTGCATTGCAACTTGTCCCACACCAGAAAATAAGGTAATAGGCCTTACAAGTAACACACTATGAGGCCCTTTTGGGATTTGTTCTGAAAAGAACATATATCAGGACTTACTTTGCATCACAATTCACATTAAACTGATATTGTCCGTTTTGGGCCAAGCCCACATGAGTTTTTTTGGACGTGGGCCTTGTACTAATAGAGTTAGGTAAACAGTTATATTCAAGGTGATTTGGTCTCTTATTTTTTCCAAAGTGGGACCTGGGTTGTATCTCAAGAATAATGAAAAGTCACTCTCAATGAAGCTATGAAGACACTTATATTTAATGTAATTCTATCTCTTATCATTCCAATGTGAGACATTGATTCTATAGAGGGGCGTAACTAGGAGTTTTGGGGTGCATGCTAGGCCCGACCCGTCCCAAATTTGAAAAATACTTTTGCGGCACCGGGGACTGGGGTATTGATGATGATGATCGGTTGAGTCAATTTATTGCTAACATAAGGAGTAGTATAAATGCCCAATAGTAGCTTATAAGATATGAAAAGAAAAAATGAATCAAACAGAAAAAGAAAACAAATATTGGAAGAGATATTATCCGAAATAAGACAAAAAGTTTGAAAATTCCAAAATAGGACTGTCATGTTTTTATTCCCAAAATAGGACTAATTACTGTCATGTTTTGGCAGTACCAGACTTCAAACATGGCAGTATTTTCCAAACTTGGCAGTAATTACTCCTATTTTGGGAATAAAAAAATGACAATCCTATTTTGGAATTTTCAAACTGTTTTAGTCCTATTTCAGGAACTTTCCCATATTGGAATAAGCGTCAAAGTTGCATCAGCTCACCCCATGGTAGTAGCCAACGGAAGCGCCTTTGAAGAAGAAGTACTCTTCAATCATGCGATCAAGGATATGGGCAAGAGGTAGGAATGATATGTACACATCATCAACCGTCATCTACCATATAGGAAGTTGCTTATCAGTTTAACATTCTTTACTGAAATGGCTCATTTTTTGCCCATACAGAATTTAAGAGTATAATGTTGGCTATTAAAAGCAAACAGCTTTTTACCTTATCTTCAAACTGGTCCATAAAAAGATCCAACCCTCTGGCAGCTGATGCAATATTTTCATGGGTCAAAATAACACCTTTTGGCTCTCCACTAGTTCCACTAGTGTACATTATTGTGCAAATATGATATGGCTGTGGTGGTGTAACCTCTGTTGAAAACTTCTTACCCTGAAATCTTCTTTTTTAATGTCATGAAGATAAAGGTAATAATACAAATTGGATAAAGAAAAGAAACTACCCCTCTGTTAAGGTGCCAATTTATATTTCACAAGAAAAAAGGGAGAAAGGGTTGTTGTGTTTCCTCCATTTTGATCAACAAATTGTTAGACAAAAAAATCTCTCAGTGTTTCACATCTACTTTGACAGTTTGACCTATGTGGTTTTCAAAAGTACGGTAGTCAAAAGTATAGGAAATGGAAGATGAAAGAGTAAGGATATTCATGTCATTCAATATTTCATTGTTGCACTTATATGCCACTTCAGACACATATAAAACCTTAAGTACAGTACCAAAAAAACATCTTTTAAAGAGGTGAAGGTTTAAAACAAGTCAAAATGGTTATTATGAACAGCTAATTGTCAAACATGGCCGATACCAGTTGAGGAAATTACCAGTTCAAGAAACTCATTCCAAGAGTATGGCTTGATACCCATGGAGACAGCCATATCCTTATCTTTTAATGTTAGCGAAGTGAGACAAACAACAACTGCACCACACAGCAAGCTTACTGACAACAATGTACTTTGGCAAAAACAACTCAACAGGAAGGAAACCGTACTCACCTTTAAGCCGTTTCAAGTGAGTACATTCATCACTAAACAGCTGCAAATTCAAATATTTAAACAAATCAGATGCATAACACAGGAAATCAAAACCAAACTAAATGCCGAAAATGATCCTTACTTCTTTCACTTTCTTGTCTTGGACAAAAACTACATCAACCTCAGCATGTCCTATTATATAATCAACAGCCCCAGATCCTGCATAGCAAATTTAAAATAAGTCAAAAAGTTGCAACCTGAAAACATTTTCTTTTCAAGATGCAAAAGAAGTATCCATTACCAAGGGTGTCATAGAGTGGAACGCAAATAAGGTTCTGAGCACTGCAGGCCTGCACAAATAAGGCAATAAAAATACCAGATTATGCTCTCTTTTTGGAAACAGCCAAACAGGGCAGCCACAAACATAATAAAAACATAAGTAAATACAGAGTATATATTTAAAATAAAAGTAAATGAGATAAATTTTCTATAACCTCCATTGCCACAATCCACTGAGGGCAATTGGATCCATAAATTCCAATACGAGCACCCTAGCACAGAGCAGAATTTTTATTTTCAATGCCTCATTTGATATACTAGAAGATATACATGCACATAAAACTTTATGCAAGTGATTATTTAATTTTCTTACAGGTTGAACACCATGAGCTCGCAATGCAGAACCAGCCTGCAGAATTTCTTCAAACACTTCGCTGTAGGTTTTCCAGAAATATGGACTCCACTGAAAGAAAGAACTTATATGAGTTAATGTTCAACAAAGAGAGTGTTTGAACAATTTGTCCCACATCGGTTAAATATGAAATAACAAACTAATGTATTAAAACTTAGGGGTTCTGTTCTAAACGCCAACCTAATGAGAGAAGTACAGCCATATGAGGCATATTCTGCTTACCAACCTAATTTTTGGCTTATGCTTAACCTATATTAAAATTCCATCTAAACCTAACAACTCTTGCCTTATAGCCCCATATACAAACTATATCAACTAGAGGTATTGGACCGATTCGAGTGTACCTTTCCCTTCACGAGCTCTCGCCACCCCAACATTTTATTTTTTGGATGCTTCTCTACAGAATTTCTGTTCATCAAAGTGTTATATGGCTGTTATGAATGTAACAAGCTGTAGTACATCAAAGATTTCATGTGCTGGTTGAAATTAGTGATCAATAAAAGTAAGAATGATTTACTTTAAGAGTTCCCAAGCAGTAGATAAGTCGGGATTAGTAGGAGGAAATTCATCCTTAGCCAAGAGGTTTCGGTATACGGGGCCCACTGATGGCTGCCCGTCGCGACCTTCCTCCCCCTCCTTGACCTTTACAGAAAACATCTGTGATAATGTGTAGTTTAGTAAGATGTAATACACTATAATGCAGTTGATCAAAACTACCAACAAGCATAGTTATCAAATATCACAAGTCTTACTTGACCCATGGAGACCATCCTATCTATACCAAGATGAATTAATTGTTTGATGATCTCTTTTACTTGAAATAATTACATCTTCAAAAAGAACCAAACTTTGCCGTTTTTATTTTATTTGAGGAAGTGTGTTAACCCATTAGATTCCCTATAGAGATTGATGATCTTTTATCTAGTAGAATCATTTTTATTTTGATTAAAGTAAAATATGTTACTTCTGATTTTTTATACACTTGTATGTGCTCCACAAGTCATCCCACAGATATTCTAATTTCTCTCGTGCTATTAGGAAGATATTCCCCAAAGCAACTGCCAAGCAAAAACAGAAAAACTTAGATGCTCTGCACTACAAGTCTAATGCCACTAGTAATTAAAAAATGGATAGTTAAACACTCCACAACTAATCATGTTAATTTGAAAAACTTATCACTCAACATTTTCAAGCAACTTTTAGCCAACGCTTTCTAAAATCTGGTTCCTGCTTTCCAAAAATAAAAATTTCAAACGCACAACTAATCACTCCAAATCTAAACTATAAATCTTTTCCAATCAATTTATAAACAAGAAGTTTAATTTAGAAATGCTTGCTAAATGACCAAAAAATATAAAGTGAATGATATTTAACGCTCAAAATACTCCTTACGACCTTTATTTTGCAGCTGGATAATGAGCAAAGACAGAAGAGGATGAGAACAAGTATTGCTGAGAAAACATTAAAACATGCAAAGATTTGATCTTTAAGTGCTTGAGAAGATTAAAAAGAAGAAGAAGATCAAACGCAAAATACATGGAAACACATAAAGCATGAAATCCGTAATACCAGCCAGCTTTAAAAAACAAAAACTAAAAACAGTTTCATCTTCCCAGAAATAAATCAGCAAAATCTCGTGAATCTACCCTCAATTTCCACCCTCTTTTTCTTTTCATTCCCATTCAAGAGAAAATTTCCTTTTCTTTGAATATAATGTTGAAGAGTTTGAAACACATGGAAACTAGAAACGTCATCTTTTAATTAAAAAAGAAGTGTTTGAAGAGTTTCTAATGAGTTTCTATGGCGTTCCCGAGAGTATCTCTTCTCATAGTGTGCGTGTGTGTATTAATATATACTACGTATAATCAATTGTGCGTAAAATTAAACAAAATAAACAATGAAACAAACCATAATATCAGGGGAAATACCTTTGGATTCTGAAGACTGAAGCAGTTACTAGCCAAAGAGCTAGAGTGAGCTTAAGGTGGTATCACGAGGAAGAACAAAATTATAGTATGAATCTATATGCATTTAAGATTTTCTTGAAGTTGTTAAACTTCTATAAATATTAATTGATGGAACTGTGGCAACAAATTCTCCACCAACTATTCTGAATCTCGTCTGCATGATTTTTTATGTATTTATTGATGACATGTGCAAACTTTCACCTTTTGGGAATTCCACATAGTCCCAATTAATGATGGAGTCATTGGAGTGTAAATATTTAGAGGCCGTTTGGCAGTACCGTTTTTCGGCTTATCAGGCTTATCAGCCAACTTTTTCACCAAACACGTAACTTTTACTTTCACGCGCTGAGTTGTGTAATAAGCAGAAAAAGTAAGGTTGGAGTTACTTTTCTGACTGTTTTGGCTGAAGTTACTGTAGATGACCATTTTAGCTATTTTTACATATTATTTTTTCTTTATTTTATTAATAAAATATATTTTAAAAATAATTGTTTCTTAAATCAGTAGAATAAGCCAATGCAGCCACTTCAGCCAGAACTTCAGAAATTTCAGCAGAATCAGCTAGAACAGCCGATTTTCGTGGTACCAAACGGGCTCTTAATAGGTTCCACAAAATGGCGTGACCTACAAATTCACACATTGCTCTCATATCAATTTTCTCACCCGTGCGATGCACGGGACATATATTATAGAGAGTATTACTACCTCCGTGTCACCATGATTGAGACAATTCGGTTTACGATGTTTGACTGACGATAAAGCAAACAGATCTCTTTCTATATTCAAATTATTTTTAGGGAAAAAATTTAGATATTCAGAAACTACATTAAAACTTTACAAAGACGCAAAAACCAGAATCAAATGTGATAAAAAATTGATATATAAAGTAAGAGGTTAAGAGTGATTTGTATTGATCAAGTGAATAGTGTCTGGGACAATCTTAGCGGGATGGAGGGAATAAGTATTAGATAATAGACATATCATATATTTAATTAATGTGTAAATGAATAGAGTAAAGGCGTAATGTACACAAATACTTAATTAAGCAAAAGATACATTTGACTCATAATTGATACAAATTATTTTTTGGTAAAAAAATAAAGAAATATTACAATAAGATTTCCGTAGCCTACACATTCCGAAACACTTTCTTGTAAACAACATTGATAGTGCGGTCGATTTTTCGCCATCTACACCACAAATCAATATTTTTAATATCTTACGATTTGTTACTTTCGATAATGCAATATCAAGTAAATCATTAAATTAAAACCTTTATATTAAAATTCGGACGAAATCTAGCCCAATTATTTTAACAGTATTAAATTATGTATTTATATTTTAACATACCATAAAATAAAGTTTCTTAAAATTATTAAATTATGTGTTTATATAGAAGTTATAAATGGTATACGTAGTATATAATAATGATTTGAAATGATTTTCAGACTTGTGTTTATTTGTACTATCAAATATTTCTGATGATTCAAACAGAATTAAAATATATTTAGATTTCCTTGCATATTATTAAAACAAAACCAATTATCGAAACAATTATTTGCATTGTTTGATAGCTCATTTAAACTTTAATTTAAGGGAAAGTTCTCGAAATGGGACTAAAAAAGTTCGAAAATTCCAAAATTGGACTGCCATGTTTTTATTCCCAAAATATGACTAATTACTGCCAAATTTGGAAAATACTGCCATGTTTGAAGTCTGGTACTGCCAAAACATGGCAGTAATTAGTCCTATTTTGGGATTAAAAACATGGAAGTAATATTCTGGAATTTTCAAACTTTTTTAGTCCCATTTTGGGTAATATCTCTTAATTTAACCATCCAATTTAATACTCGGTATGTATGTAATTGAAAAATGACATTTGGATTTTAAAATAAATGAGGAGTCCATAACATTTCGGACCAGCCCATTAACACTTAATGCTCCAGCCAGACACAACTCACACCATATGTATTAAATATAGAGCACGTTCGGTAACACGAAAATCTGTTGATTTGGTTGATTCTGTTGAAATTTATAAAGTGCTAACTGAAGTGACTGCATTGATTGATTTTGCTAATTTAAGAAAAAATTATTTTTTAAAATATATTTTGTTAATAAAATAAAGAAAAAATTATATGTAAAAATAGCTAAAATAATCATCTACAATAACTTCAATCAATACAACCAGAAAAGTAATTTCAACCTTACTTTTTCTGCTTATTACACAATTCAACGCGAGAAAGAAAACATTACGTGTTTGATGAAAAAAATTGACTGATAAACTTGATAAACCGAAAATACCAAACAACCTCATAGAATCCTAATAATACCCAAACCCTAAATATAAATACCCTATGGGCGTGTTTGGCATTTAGCGATTAGCGGTTAGCGGATAGCGGATTATGTTAGCGGGTTGTTAATACCGAATTCAATCAGCGAGTTTGACCAGCGGAATAAAATTAGCGGATTTTCATAAGATGTTTGATAATTTAGCTGTTTGGCCATAAAATTAATACAAAACGCCATTTCTCAAAACGCTAACCCAAAACTCTCCTATTTGTAGCGTTTTCATTTCAGCGGTTCCATTCAAAAAAGCTAGTGCCGAACCGCTATTTATCAAACATCATTTTCACTCATCGAAAACGTCAAAAATGGTCAAACCGTCATTTTTGCTGAAACCCCATTTACCAAACACCCCTATATATGCCCAGCCGCCTCAGTTTATGAGACATCCGTTAAACGATGCTCTTCAACTCCCATCTCCTAAATCCTCAGCTTCCGTCCTAATTACTTCCTACACCCTCACCAGATGCTCTACCACTTCCTCTTCCATACTCATTCCTTCCCCTCCCTATGCAGCAGAGAATATAGGTAAATCCGATGGATCCGGAGCCTCTATCTTACTTTACTTTAAAGTAAGGTAGAGTGCTTCCTCCCGGTCGTTCGATCGACAATTCAACGGTTGGAGATTTGAGCTCTATTTTTTCGCCTGTAGATGGTGTTGGCCGCTCCCTTCCCGCGCAAGGCACCCTCCCAGTCGGGTAGAGGATCCCAATCCAAATCTGATGCTCTACCAATCCCAATCTCTATTCAATTGCCGACGTCTCCTTGGTTGAGTAAGACTCGTACAACGGAGATTCAACTTTGCCACTTTGGTGGAATACTCAGTGTATTCCCGCTGCAGGCCGAACATTGCGACCAACTTTAGTCACATATCTGACGGTTTTTCGGTATATTTCTAAAAATTATTCCTGTGTTTATGTTTTCCTTATTTTTGTACTCCCTCCGTCCCGTTGGAATGTTCCCGTTCACTATTCATTGGTCAACTTAGGTCACTCCTAATCTTTTACTTTATATATCAAATTTTTATCAAATTGAACTTTTCTTGATCAGGCTTTGTAGCGGTTTTAATGTAGTTTCTGAATATGTAAATTTTATTTACTAAAAATAAGCGGAGTGTGAACAGGGATCGAGTTGCTTTATCGTCAGTCAAGCATCGTAAACCGAACGGGAACATTCCAACGGGACGGAGGTAGTAATATCTTTGGTCAGCATTTTTTTTTATTAACTACACGACCTGAAACTTGCACTTTATTTGGTTTTTGAACCGTGCATTTTTTACCAAATCTGTCTGGTTCTATCGATTTGGGGTACGAATCTGCCCTAATATCAGACATATATCTTTTTTGTTTTCTGGTAGGCATAAAGGGATGGATTTTGAAGCATGCATCACATAAGCAACACATATATACTGCTATTTCATGAAAGTGAGATATGTTGTAGCACTGTGTCACAAATTCTGAAATGAAGGCCTATTTAATTACTTGAACCGAAAACAATTATTTTCTGTATATTTCGGCAAAAAAAAATATTTTCTGTATATTTCCATTTTTAAAATCCATAGTCTTTTGAAAAGGCATGAATCTGTTTTGAATAAATCTCATTTAATTTGGAGTTGCCATGTAAATGTCTACATTTTTCACAATCATAACATTTCTCTTAAGTGAGGGTAAAACATTTTTTATGGATTATCCATGTATTTAAAGAGATCAATTGAGATGATTTTTCAGTAGGGATGGAAGTGGAGCATAGAGAGGAAGAATTGTTTGAGCGTTGAGCCATTGAGATTGAAATAAGTAGAGTTGAGTTACTGAATTAACGCAAGCAATTTGGAGCAATTGCAGGCTCTGATACCATAAATCAATGTAGGCAGAAAGATATTAGCACGCAGGGAAGATTTCTGACTTATTTTCTGACTTATTTGCTCGAAGATCAAACTCCTAAGTTCAAGATTTCTTGTGAGATATGATCTCATTATATGTTTTGTTTTGAGATCACAAATGATATCCTGATTTGCTTGTTAATGCCTTTTAGTTCATTTTCTTGTGAAGATGGCAAATCTGGCAAGTAAACATTGGTAAATAGACTTTTTTAAATGAACTATATTTTTTTTTTACTTGTTTGCACCTTGGGAATCAACTCTTCCAGCAACGTAACTATTTTTACGTGTTACTATTACTATATCTTATATTGCTTGTTCTAATCCACCAAGATTGATTATATTTTTTTATATTTTTTCATTTCTATAGTTTGCTTTAGATATAGGTAATAATAAATTACTTTAGATTGTAATATCCTCATCACCAAAATTTTAAAGTGTTATATTTCTTGTGGAAGTTTTGTATTTTTAATGGTTTGATAACTAAATCATCCCATTTTCTAACAAAAATGTTAATGGGATGTAAATCTATTTACTATAACATGCTTCGTTTTACCTTTCTAATTATTTATCTACTACGCAGTAATATTTAAATGTGTATATATATATATATATATATATATATATATATATATGTATGTATATGTTTTAAAACGTGTTTATGTATACAACTCCAGAGCATGAATACCCACAATTACTATCATGTATATGATTTTCATATAAAAATTGTTTGAGCCTCCTAATATCTAAGGAGGCTAAACTACTTCTTCATGATGCGTTTATTTTTAATGTTAGGAACTTCCATTTGCTGATTATCTGTTACGCTCAGAATGTTAGTGTTTTGAAAACCCAAGGAATATAAAACCAATTACTATAAAGGACTTACCTTTACCTTTTGTTCATCCCATTTAGTC